TGTGTGTCTAAAACTAAGAAAAAAAGGCGTGGTTTCTATATACGTGTTTAGAAAACAATGCAGTACACTGCGAGCGGAGTGCATTCTAGTCAATAATATTGAAATCTACATGAATAGAAATCGACACGATACACATCAAAAACATTATGCGTTTTAAAAATGGCAGTCCTTATTCTCTCATTCAAATGCACCCAATTCAATGTATACGTATATCCCTGTAACATTTAATGAGAACAACAAACAAACAAAACATGAAACGTGACCGAAAAAACGGTGCAACACGGGTTTAATAAACAAACAAAACATGACACGTGACTGAAAAAACGGAAGAAGAAAATAATCCCACATCCAAATGTTATTTTTGCATCGATCGCATTTATATACCATACACAACCCCTCGTCTTCTTTTTTTACATTTTCAGGAATGGATTATTTTCCTACCCGCATCTGTCTCTAACCTCATGTATATTTTCCCGAAATCATAAAAATCAATAATCTGTCAAATTAATGGATGGGGCGTGGTGATGGCTTATTTGAGGATGGGATGTATATGTATTTTGTACACTTTTTAATTTTGCTGATACCGCGTTTGAGGGCTGTAGAGTTATGATTTATCGCAAACAATTGTCACTTTTGAAGCAATTGTTCTATGAACAATTATAATACACATTTGGAGTGACTGTTCAACAATCGACACAACAAGCATATCCGTTGTTTTATGGAACGAATACTTACATCATGCACGAACACCATTTTTAGTCATAATCCTATTACATACACGTATTCAACAACATGCACCATCAAACAGCAGCATTAGAAAATGATATGTTCTCATTTGTATTTTTATCTTCAAGGAAAAAGAAATACAATATTGAATGTTTTGTGTGTGAGTGTGTGTGTCTTTAAAATGTTCAAATATGTACTCAGTTTATTAATTGCCTACATTTCAGATTGCATCTAAGTCTGACACTGCCCGCGGCACTACATATACCGGTTAATCGACTCACTGATGCGGCATTGCGTGTATCTATTGGCATAAAATAACATCCTCTCAGTCTCAGATTGAAAAGAAGGGGTGAAAAGTACTCGATTTGGACATATATACTCATATTGATGTATATATGTATATATTACATTATATTGTCCCGCCACGCGACGTACCCACTTCTCCGTGTTTCTGTTTTTTGTTTAAATAAAAGCTGTACGTTTTAGAGCATAACACCGCGTTTAAGTATGTATTGGTAGAACCAGATGGGCGGATGAGCCCATAGGCGAATCACTACCTATACCTAGTAGGTTAAGTAAGCGTATGTATTACGTTCGTGCTAGTGCAGTCTATACCTAGAGGGCGTAACTTAAGAGCATCCATAGTCTATTATTAGTGTGTCTATTAATAAAGGCAATACATATTATATCACATTTCCTAAATGGAAGAAGCTGTTTAAACGTTTGTGAAAAGGCAGACGTAATAGAAATCCCGATTGAATTGGGCAAGAGGGCGCTATTTTCGTATAAAAATAATGATGTATACGTGCAAAAACGATTAAAGCGATAGTATAGATAACGTTCTGTATTTTTATCATGGTTGATATTATATATACATGTACGTACAATAATTCGATGCGCATGCGCGTGCGCACTAACACCTGCATAATTCATTATTGCTCCGAATATATACAGCCAAGCAACACTTTCAGTTTACAACAAACCACACCACATTATTTTAATCATTGTACATTTCAAGCAAAAACATTTATAAACACGCTCAAAAATATTCAGTTATCCATATTTTGTCAACTGATACAGCGTTTGTTATTACATTTAGTCGGTATCCAAACTATTTTAATTGAAATTAAATTCTACCAACCAGTGCAGAATCACCGCACAATATTACAATATTTGTAAATTTTGCATCATAATATATCGTAGTGGAACGGAATTAATCATGCAAATCGAACAAAAAGGAAAGTGAAGATTGCCTAAAATTATCTCATGGCTTTAAACAGTGTCACGCCAATTCAGGTTTTCATATTCATCGCGATTCATACTACGATTAATTGACTTAAAGCGGGAGGGTCGTCACCTGCGCACGCGCGAGGATCGAGTTCCAAGCGATAACACACGCTAAGAACGCGAAGGCTCATGGGTAGACGCTTGTTTGTAAACAATGACACACCTGACGCATGCGTAGTGGGTTGTCTAGTTTCTGAAGTTGAATACATGTACTAGTACTATACAGCATCATCACAAATATGAAAGTCCCAAATATAAAGCCGACCTGAGCACAGTGACAATATAGAAAACGTTGATCCAGTCGAGTACACTTTCTAAACCATTTCTAATACGCTGATTCGGTAAAGTTTGAAAATACAAGTATACCATCCCTTGCAATTGTTATTTCAAAAACAGAAGGGATTAATTACATTCGTAAACCTTGGTGTTTCTGAACAAAGTAGTTACTGATACTACTTAATCGTTCTTACTGATAATATAACCACAAGGAAAAACCAGATTCAACTGATGAAAGTACACATAGATGTTAATGCAAATTGATGATAAATTCAAAATTATTATAAAGATCCTGCCAACAAAAGATTTATTCTGGTCAAGGGATGTTTATTGATATGGTTGTTATGGTAACAACAGGAGAAAAATGAGTGTAATTGAGACTTTTTCCAAATATCATTAAGCATGTTACTATAGCAACTTACACATCATCTGAAAACTTAGATATACTAAAGTGAATAAAGGTAATGCATATGCTTTACCAATCTTTGTCTAAGGGGTTACCTGGCGGCCAATTTCGCTATTGACGTTTTTGAATATCAAACACTTTCAGTCACGCGAATGACCTGTGAATTGCACACGGGACGTTCATAACTCTGTAGGCCAGACGATCGCTCATTTGGTTTACCATCATTATTTTCACAACCAAATTACTACAGACATGATTCAGACGGTTGTAATTAGAAAACTAAAGCATGGAAAATAAATGTCAAGAAATTGTAGAGAACATGCTAAAATCAATTATGCAAATTAGTTAATTCAAATGCACAGATGGATTCCTAACAATTATAAGTATTGAAACTACACTAGCAGTATACATGCTCCCCAAGTTTCAAACATGCAAAACATGCTGCAAGTAATTAGATAGTATGTTAGCTAATTAAAATGCCCAAATTAAATCCATTTTAAGGTTATACATTCAACTAAACACACATGCAGATATCAAGTTTTAATTAATCCATTTGTACAAATTGTTAGAAAATAAAAAAATATGACAAAAACACTTAATTAATGTGTAAATTAGCAAATTTAAATGCACAGATTAATTAGAGACAATCAACTGTACAAGTGGTATGCATGTACCAAGTTTCAATGCATTTGAGGGACCATTTATGATAGAGAAGCTGAAAGCATTTAAATAGCATGCAAATTAGCTAATTAATATGCACAGATGAATTAGAAACAAATATCAGGTATTGATCCATTCTAATCCAGCCTCTTGGAATATCAGTGGAACAAAAAAATAAAACACAAGCAGAAAGACAGATGGACAGCAGACATTGGGACAACATTACCTTCCCAAATAAAACAGTTATGACAAAAAACGCATCAAGTAAATCTAAAACAGAATTCAATCCCATGATGCATTTCACTATACTCAACAACCAAACATTACATGACATCCAAAACTTTGTAATATTTTTTTTTTGAAGCATCATTGTCTTCATATACATGTATAATCCTGCCTTCTATTTTCAGGTTGCTATGGTTACCAACAAACATGAACTAACACTATTGCAGAAACAAACAAACCTTATTAACCCCTTAAATTCTCAATCACTTTAATTCTATTAATAAATTAAAATACACTGACTTTATTAACCCACCAGGTTCAAGGAAAACAAATATTTCAAGTTAAAAAAAAAAACTCATTTGTGACTAAAACAATCACCAAAAACTAATCACTACAGATCGGGCTTGGTTGGAGTTATTCAGTAATTTGAAAATGAAAATCAACAAAAATAGAAAATTTTTGACTCAGACATGATTTGAAATACAAGTAAATGAGTTTAACCAAGGCACATATGCATCAGACATATACTCTTTAAACTTTTATCACACCAAAAATGTAAGTACATACGTAAACTATAACACCTTGGTAACTATAAATCTGAAAAATAGGCACACGCATAAAAAAAAAATGGCTGCAAATCTGCATTTTGGAGACAGAAATGGCAGTAAATCAGATCTTATCAAATCAGAACAACGTACTGCAGCGTCTGTAAACACAAACTACCAACAAAATCAGACATTTCTGATTTGCACACAAAGTACAATCGAACAAGCAATGATACCACAACAAACATTCAAACATTTAAGTCACAAATATTTTGCATAATGTAAGATTAACCATCATAAATTGTAGAGCACCATCAATTTTGATATTATCATCATAAACACATGTATGTTACTTTCCAATATTATGTTTTCCTGAGATTTATCTTGAATCCAGCAAGGAACATGGCAGTAGGATGAAAACAGACGCTGTGGGAAATGTACAATCTCTCAATAAATGTCAAGTATGAACTTTTTTCAGCTAATGCCATCAAATAAACATCAAATAGTGACCACGGAAACCATAGACCCTACAAGGCACAGATACTGTGATTACCCACAACTATTACTAACAAATAAATGTGCAATTACGGCATTTCCCCCCAAAAAATGTGAATTATACATCTTGCTGTATTTATAACTTTGTAATTGTAAGCTATATCTCTGATTTCCTGAGTTTACAAAAAATTCAAATTGTCACTGAAAATTACAATTTCATAATTAACAAATAAATAACAAATTAAATATGCAGACATTTGATAAATAAGAGATGACTCCCATCATTGCATTAATTGCCTAGCTATGCTGCTAGTAATATCCCATTATTCATTTTGGCAGTTTGAAAGCAACATAATGGTGCAATCTCAGGTAACAGTTTATTTAATAACTTTCATTTATTTTGATGCAATTTAGTTTTTGCCATGTTAAATGTCATATGTGTTTGAACCAAAGACCATATCAACAAATACCTGTCTAAAATACCTGCGTATTCAAACCATTGTTTTGAGCACCTATTCTGAAATAAGTAAAAAATAAATACAGGTAACCATGGCACTCATTGGCATGGGCAAACATAGATAGATCCATAGATTGTGCGAAATACGCTTGTACATTTTACAGTGACATACACAAGAAATCAAGAAATTCACCCTCAACACCCCCCCACTTTTCTGACCCTTCTAATTTTACACATCACTCTTACCAGTACCCACTGTCTCACAACCTCTCACCTGTTTACATAAAATTTTTTACATTTTTTTTCACTATCAAAGAAAAGAAGTTACTGTAAAATGACTAATTTTCCCTGGGTTTAATTTTGCTGATTTACCATTTCAGGCATAATCAGTGGGTTTTAAATTCACGATTTTATCATTTAGGTAATGTGTTCTATGCTAAATTTGACATATTCAGTGGGTTATTATAATTTAGTGCATTTTCCAGCCAGCGAAATAAGCAAAATTAAAACCCAGTGAATAATTAACCTTTTTACAGTACTAAATATTTAGGCTTTCAGAATATATATAAGATGGTGTGTACTTTAACGGAAATAAAAGTGTATTTTAAACAATTCATCAGTCAAATAAAAAGTTTTAGAAGATACCGGTTCTATGGTGAAGACCGGCTCATAGTTAGATTGGTTTTACACGGGGTGTATTTGTTCTCAAATTTGGTGATTTACAGACAGAAATTTGTCATTGTATTTTGGTGCATTTTAAATGGTCAAATGTTGTATTTAGATTTTACGTGATATCAATACAAAACAGGCAGATTCCTGTGTTCATACACACCGATTATAAGCAGTGCTGTCACTTGAACAAAATAATTCACCGAGTATTGTCCACTTCCATTTTGCATCAAAGTGTTAAATCGGTTTTCGTCTCATGCCTGTATCCAATCTAGATTCAAGTCGATAGTGATTTCGAGATCACTTTGATCGTAGTCATGATTACACCGAGAAAAAGACATGACCATTTTTAACCATATGTTGATATTGTCGCCATGGTGATCTGAGTATCACTATACAGTGATATTTACTTCTAATAAACATCACAAAACCTAAATTAGCATGATTTAAATAATCACACTAAAAAATCAAACAAATAACAAACAAACAAAATTTCACCAATTACATGGACTCAATGAGCACACATGGAATGTAATTCAATGAAAGGAAGGCTAAATAAATAAATACAACAAATATCTACTCCCAAAAAAATGTTTCCCAATAAAATGTAAAATAAAATTTCTATTGTTAACTTAAAAAACGAATATTGGAAATTATTGATAAGTAGATAATTATTCTGAATGGATTTCATTTTTACAGTTCTGAGATGAAGACAATAACCAGTCTAGTTCCTCCCATCACCTCAACAAATGAATGTTACAAAAGAGAAAAATAAATCTGTTCTTAATATGCTGACCTCATATGCAAATACTGTCTGTACTGATAGTGGATGGAGCAGATATTAAAAGAGGGTAAAATAAGCCAAAATAAATGAAACAACAGAATAAGTAATATATTTTTCTATGCTTTTGGATTGGATTTCATCAGCTCGATGTCAGCTTCCACCATTTCTTTCACTAGTCCCTGAAACAAAGTAGACAGGAAAAACATTATTCATTAAAAAGGGCCACAAAAAGAATTCGTGTATTTTGTGTGAACAACCATGTCATGACTCGATATTTTAATAAAATTATTACAGAATAAATCATAAAATTCTGAAAATACATAAAATCACAAAATATACGAACCTTAAAATCAGTTTTTAATTCCCATTTGAGTTTGGTCTTTGCCTTAGTGCAGTCACCTAGCAAAAAGTCCTGAAAAGATAAAGAAATAAATAAGCGCAAATCAAGCGCAAAACATTTTCTGATCATACTACACCACAAAGTATTGACTTACGAGCTACGGCTACAAAGTGGTAACAAACTTTAATGCAGATTTTGAATTCCTACCAGCTGTTACCGTATTTGCTCTATTAAAAGAACAGCTCATCAGAAGTGCATATAAATCAAGCAATACATTGGCTGTACATTGAATTATTACAATAATAACTCATATGGATCATAGACGAATCTCTGTGAGTTACATAAGTGCATGGCATTTTACTCTCCCCTAAAATGCATACACACTGTGACAACAGTCAATATTGATGTTTAACTTTTGAATTCCATCATTTTTCAAAAACAAAAAAAATGTGCTCTCTGCAAACCATTATTTTTCAATAATAGCCTTGTCCATTTGAAGCAAATCAGCATACTGTAAAATCATTTATTTTCACTGGCATTCACCGGTTATTACAATATATTGTGATGTTTGAGTCTTTTCACTGGGTTTCATGTTCACAAATTTGTAAGAGAAATATTGAGTTTGATTGTTATTTAACAGATTCATGCGAATTAAACTTACTAGTGAAAATAGCAAAATTAAAAACCTGTGAATAATTAATACTTTTACAGTAATCCCCCCATATGGGTCTTGATCAATATGGAAAAAAAAATCAATTTTGTGGGAATCAGAGAACAACGTTTCTGCACACTTTCCAATTACAACTCAAATCCAGCAGTTAAGTACATTATGTGCTTTTTTTCTATGTGCAGTTTTGGTAAATAGCAAAGTACGAGTGAAATTAAATCATGTAACACAGAAGATGACTACCTGTGTTTGTTTAGATGCTAATTGCTCTACAATGCACAATGATGTTTCATTAGTCAGTTGGAAAATTTCAACCATTGTTCAAGAACAAAGAACGCTAATTAAATTAATTTGCATTTGCAGGATTAGTCAGTAAGCTGCTTTAAAGGCTCAAGGAGACTGAATTAACACATTTTGAGAAAGCGCTGTGATCTAAGCAATGAGCAGACAAATTGGCCATTGTTGTTATTCTTTGTTAAACCCTAAGTAATTACAAAGATCCAATTAATGTCATTTAAGAATGAATCACTTTTAGCACCGATGCACCTCATTCTACAAAAGTATTAGTGTTATGTGCCAATTTCCAGATACACCTGTTTGTGGATCACCACTTTATTCACTTAACAGTACACAATATTTAAGACGGTTACAAAACAATCAGTGGCACACTCACTCACTAAATTGGGTGGTGTTACAAAGAAAAAAAATGTGTATAAAATATAACCACTCAAAGTACAGTGTTTATACACTGAAACGAAATCAGGATTAAAGAAGATACAGACATCGCTAGAAGTGAGTCCAGACTCTGCACATGCAACCTGTCCAATGACTTTATCAGCCAGAGCTAATGTCGGTAGTAATCACTACAATGCCACAAACTATCAGTGTATACATCAGTGAAAATAGACTGCATGGTGTCAGTGTATATAAGACTGCAATATGCGAGTGTCAATATGTTAATATACCGATATGTTAACATTTGTACTTTACTCCGGTAACAATTCTATTGGTGACTCAATCAATAGGACACTTAAAATGACATGAGCATGTAGTGAATTTGGATATCAAATTGACCAAAAATCCAAGAATTGTCCAGATTCTTTCCTGCTCTGAACTATTGTGCACCGCAGATGGTGGAGGTGATTCTTTGTGAATTTACGTTAGAACTCAATTCAAAGGTGGTAGAAAAAGAAATTCAAACATCCAATCAAATGTGAAGTCATAGTAATCCCCAACATCATTGAAATTGAACGTATTTTTTTGCAATCTGTGCAAAATCGCACCAGTCAATATTTTTCAATATAGACCCAAATAAAGATATGTGAGTATGAAAAGTGTAAATTTAATGAGGTCATTTACATAGTATTATGCATAATTAATCATCACCAATACATTGTATGTAAGGGAACCAATAACCATCAGGTAGGAGTCAAACATAAGCATTAACAAACTATGACCATTTGTGATGCACCAGATCTTCTCTTGTACGTAAATTAGAACCACCCTCTCATGAAATGACGGTAGCTGGGTTCAATTTTCTAACATTGATTGCTGTCAGGTTCATGTGAAAAGTTTAATGAGAAACAAAGGGTGCTAAACTAAGAAGCTAAGCAATGTGGCCTGATTTGATTATGGACGTGGATTTCAAGAAATGTTGATGACTTTAGAATTGGAGTGTGATTCTGAGTGACACTGAAGAGAACACAGATTAACTCAGAGTAGATTATTGTATTGAAATACAATCAAGCGTTCACCTGATTTGTCTGTGATGTCATTTAAATTGTGTGATGTCACCTGATTTGTGTGTGATGTCATCTAAATTGTGTGTGATGTCACCTGATTTATGTGTGATGTCATGTAAATTGTGTGTGATGTCGCCTGATTTGTATGTGATGTCATTTAAATTGTGTGTGATGTCACCTAAATTGTGTGTGATGTCACCTGATTTGTGTGTGATGTCACCTTATTTGTGTGTGATGTCATCTAGATTGTGTGTGATGTCACCTGATTTGTGTGTGATGTCATCTAAATTGTGTGTGATGACACCTGATTTGTGTGCGATGTCATTTAAATTGTGTGTGATGTCACCTGATTTGTGTGTGATGTAATCTAAATTGCATGTGATGTCACTTGATTTGTGTGTGATGTCATCTAAATTGTGTGTGATGTCATCTAAATTGTGTGTGATGTCATCTTAGTTGTGTGTGATGTCATCTAAATTGTGTGATGTCACCTGATTTGTGTGTGATGTCATCTAAATTGTGTGTGATGTCATCTAAATTGTGTGCGATGTCACCTGATTTGTGTGCGATGTCACCTGATTTGTGTGCGATGTCATCTAAATTGTGTTATGTCATCTGATTTGTGTGCACTTTGGTTTTAACCAATACATATTTTGTGAGATAAGCAATTACACGGCAAACTGACAAACATCCTATCAGGGTGTACCATCCGTGAATTTAAAAAAAGAGATAGTGAGATGAACTTCATATGTCCAGTAGCTATCTACATTAGCCCAGATATATCTACGCTTAATTGTAACAACAAAAACAAGCAAACAAATAAACTGAGTAACACAGCAGATTTATCTATGAAACCAACACACATATGCTACGCATATGTCCTGCTGAGAAATAGACTTAGACCATCCTTTCCACAAATCAAAGTGATGGCAATTCTCAAGTGTTTGCTGCATGTAGGACACAGCAATATTGGTAAATCTCACTCACAGATACAAGTTACTCTTAGTCAAGTTCAACCAAAAAGTCCTGGTCGCACATTCAATATTTATGGTACCCCCATGACAGCGCCCTCTATGTACAGCATATGGCAACACAGCTGCTTTCAAACATACCCTCACTTGATCTAAACAGATTGCACATGTTATGATTGGCAGCTGATAGTAACAACGCATGACCTACGTTAATAAAGTTCAGAGACCTTCCCTGTAGGCTACCATCAGATATGCTAGCACACCGACAACACAGAGGGAACTAAAACTCAAGCCCGGGCAAAGAATTAATATTCGTCCATCTAATAACGAGACAATCATCACAGGGTTACGTTCACATCAAACATGAAATTATAGAATAATCGGGAGTTGGAATCAAGAAATGCGAAACTACCGAACGAGTCGAATTTAAGAGAACTGAAAGGATTACGAAAAATTGAAAACAGTATTCTACAGAAAAGTGAAAGCTCAAAAAGCAATTTAGAGCTGTCAAAATGATCTAGCTGTGAGGGAGAAGTAAGACAAAATTTGCATAATTGTAGATTAAAAGCTAAACAGTATTACAGATTTAAAACTATGTTTTTGAACTTGGCATAGAAGATGTTTTGTCTATGTCTACACAGCAGATAATAGTGTACTGTATTCTTGGTATGCAATTAGACAGAGAATACTGGTTAGTTGGGGTCTAGGATTAAATCGCTAAGAGTATAAAATTAACATCGTGTTAACGCAACAAAACTTGCTAGAACATAGTAGTGAATGCTGGGAGCTGAATTAAGCAACAAATACGGCAGCCGCAGCCCATTCAATCTTGAGCTGCAAACTGTCAAAACAGATCAGGACGCTGTCTAACAACAAACATGATTGTAGTGAAGTACTGAGAAGTTGGTAGATATGTGTTATCTCAGTTTCACTGAAAACAATGAGAACACACACTGAGCCTCCCTGCTCCCAAGGCTATGGTTGGAACTTTAATTGGCAGCCACAGCCTGAAATTCATTCCCAATTAGCATCAATCGGAGGTCAAAGTTGACAACCAGGGATCATTGTTCATTTTATCTTTCCTTGTTTCAACTGTCTTCAGCACTTTTCTTACCATAGCTTGGAAACCCAATAAGGTATGCAGCTTCAACACAGCAAAGTTGAGTGGTCAGGTCTGAATGAACAACAGCCATCACACTCAAATGGAGGGAAAAATTGGTTATTTATTAAAAACCTACTTGGAATGGTGAACCCATTGTTGCGAAGAAGCAGGTGTCCCGAAAAATAGATCAACAGAGAATAGTTTAATCTGACACGAGACAACCCATGTGCTTCACCAACAATAACACTAAAATGCTAAAAATGTGAAATGTGAAAAAAAACATGCAGGCCTTAAGGGGACAAAACTTGAGGGGATGAAACAAGAGTGATAGTAAATTAAAAAATAGGGCATTCACATATCTGGAAGCACTAATAGCTCTTTCAAATTAAGAAGATAAAAGAATTCAAAGTCATCTTTTTAAAAGTTTTTTTTTTTTTCTAGATGAAAGGGAATTGTAATAAAGGTGGTATCAATTATACCAATTGTTTGATTGTTTTCCAGTTTGCTGGCCTTGCAGTCCAAATCTGATTACTCCTACACTGCAAGTGACTAGAGGCGTATAAAGCTGAATAACAGAACAGAATTTAATGCTGCAAGGCAAAATAAATGGAATCTGTAAATCGGAACAAAGACTTAGACAAGAAGAAAGAAAAAAAAATGCATGGTGAAAATTAGTTTGGGATGTTGTTGGCTTAATAGAAGTAAGTGCAGGACTACCAAGGGACGTGTTATTAAACAAGCAATGTTTACAGGGCCAAATTGGAACAAGTCAAACAATGTTCTTTGTAATATATAGAATAGGAAGAAATGTGGATTGGATTGCATGGACATGAAGTTAAATTTTGTTGATCAAAGGATGAAACTAAGCGTGGTTTAAAAAATGTACCAGACTTCAAACTTGACTGTGATTACGTAGATTGAGGTAAAACTTTGGGGGTGGGGGTGGGGACATAATTTATACACTATTATGCTTTGTAATATATCACAATGGACAGGTAGAACAATTAAATTGAAACGACAATTAAAACAATGTAAATACTATGTAACATTCTCAATTAAATTGAAAGACAATAAACACTAAATAACACTCTGTTGACAATTGAATTAAACACTACACAATAAAACAAACTTTAAGTAATGTCTTATTAACAATTACATTGAACAATAGACAATAAAACAAACTCCATGTAATGTCCTGTTTGTTTTTTATTCTTTCCAGACAAAGAAATCGACACAAAGAAAATCATGAACAAAAAAACAAATGTCCTTTTGAGGTCAGTGTGCAATAACACAACTCATCACAGACATTTGTATTTGTACTATTACTGTTTTCTTAGTGGCCTGTTACCAGCAAACTTTCCAACTTTCCAAAATAAACATCAGAGTTACTTTGAGAATGTTTGACAATAAAACAAATAAGTATTCTTGTTCCTTGTTACCAAAACTGACACAGGTGAGCCCCAAGGTTTACAAGATAAACAAAATAGAAATGAAATTCAATCAGTTCCCTATTATGTATTGTCCTGTGAAAAGGAAGACAACGTGAATTGAAATCGACAGCATGTATCTTTTCGGTTACATATGCAGACATGTACTACTGACAACGACCAATTTTTTTTATTAATTTGATTAAAGGGTCATAAGCTGTATTTTTAGTAAATGATTGTATGCTTATTAATCCATCTAATACTGAGGTATCGTGGTACATTGTATTTGTGATACCTTAAGATAAAACAGAGTAGATAAAATATTACGATGTCCGTGCTAAGCAAACACAAACAGAACCTAGATAGATCATGCATGCTAGAAATTGAAAAACACAGCTCCATTTTAGAAATCAAAGTGTGAACAAGAGTATTGGAATGATACATTTGAAAGGTTGTTTAAGTGAGTGATGAGACTTTCATAAAATAGGCCATCTGGATCGCCAACTGTCGGACATATCGGACATATCGTAATCGGAAATGATAAAATAACAACTCATCCTATGTAAAGAAAACAATAAATTCTCCCTATCAAGATAAGTGGGATAATGAAGACGCTCCATTGTGATGAGTCTCTGGAGATCAAGAGATAACCTTGTGGCCAGGGGGCGTCTACCGACTACGGCAGGTGATTATGTGGTCAGAGCTGTGGAAAGAACACTTGAATACAACTGCTATACTTGTACAATGATACAGAAGTTAAACAGCAAAGCTGATTACATTTCTTTTCAATTTTCAAATAACATTCACTGATGTAATCAAGAGATTAGTTCATAAATCGTACATGTATCTCTCTGGATGTCAGAGGTCACTGCAGTGTCAACGGGCATCACAGAAAGAGGGGGGAGGGGGACAATGATCAGGGGCACACCTGGCCGTGTGTTGTCACTGAGCAACAACCCCTATCATGTATACATTAATAAAAACACACATTTGTTTTCTTAAGAGTGATTCGCAATGTTCTCGCCAGCGTTAGAAATTCCAGCTATGTATTACAGCTGTACTTTAAGGGAATTAAGTCTATGAACTCAACTCGGCCTTTTCACAGGGCACTCACAGGAGGACTCCAATCAACTTAGAGGCTGGCCACGTCATAATTGACACACAGTTTCAAACGCAATTTCTCTACAATTGTCCAGACTCTTGTAACTCAATATCAGGCATATGCTCCTCTATTACAACATGAAAATTAACGTCTAAGTGGCTGCCATTCCGAGCGTCAAATAGGTAAACTAAATACGCAGGACAAGTTCGGCACCAGCTGTCATAGTTGGTAACAATACAATAGTGTTCATTTCCCAAAAAGCGCGCAAGGTATCACGTGACTCCCTCGTTTCAAATTTCCAGGCATCTCATTTTGTTAATTAAGTCAGTCTTTGTTCTCTTGCTCAATGGCATGGAATTGATGCAAAAATTGTTAATTGCTTATTCATTGCTTTACCGAGTCATCAGGGCACTCACCCTGCTTCGTTCTTATTTTTTCACTTGACAAAATAGTAATACATCCAGTAAACTAAGCCAGGCTGACTGAACAAAGACATGTAGTTATGTAGGACAGCCAAATAAATACAATCTTACAAGTTATCGGCATAAAATATCATGTTCTCTATTGAAATAAATCAATGCTGGACTAGCATTTTTTAGGAAATATCAAATTTGTGGAAAAAAACAGTAAAAATTAACAAAAATTTCTAATCTACCAATTTAATTATGTTGTATGACACTGTGCTCACATAGATGATGTTTATTTTTTAAAGCGTCAAATGATTAACTTTTGAGTAATTTTGAGCATGTTTTAATAATATTATAAATAAAAGTGTTGTTTTGTTGACAAACATACAACAGTATTGATTAGAAATAATAAAAAGCTGGCATCCCAAATTTACCCACATGCACAAGTAACTGAAGCACACACATACACATTATTTTACCAACACACAATGCTACTCGTATGTTTGTTGCCAAAGCATCATTTTTATTTAACATTTTTATATAATATTTATCTGACTAGAGTACTCCATTGTTACTTCGTTTACTGTAAAATACTTTATTTTCCTGAAGGAATGATTCAGTGAAAATTAATCCAACGAATATACCTTTTTTCCTATATTTTACATTCAATTTGTCAAAAATCAGTGAAAATAAATTCCATACAAAACACCCAAAATGTCTTTTTCAGTGAAAATTAATTCCAGCTAAAATAAAGTATTCTACAGTATTTATGATTTTATGTATGAAAGGAACTCATGAATAAATTAAAATTTACTCACGACTTCTGTTGGTCTGTAAAATCTAGCATCAATCTTCACTCGTACTTTCCCAGTTGCTTTCTCTTTACCCACCTCATTCAATCCTTCACCTTCCCATCTGAGATAAGCAAATGCAAGCATTGTTAAGAAATAAAATACATTCATAAAGTCACACATATTTAGTGTAGACAAGACCTAAAAATTTAGTTTTTTATAAATAATAAAAAAAAAAACTTGCACGCATTGATTTTGAAAAACTCCTACTTTTTTTCTAGACCTAGCCTACAACATATGAATCGGCCTTTCTGATTGGTAATTGAGTAGCTATAGAGGGTTTGTACCCCAATGAAAAACAGTGTTGTAAAAATTACATCAACAGTAAAAAAATTACTTACTCTATTTCTTTATTGACCAGTTTGAATGATTCTTCGACAAACTCTCGTACACTGTGGACCTCCCCAGTTGAAATGATGAAATCCTCAGCCTGCTCTTGTTGTAACATTAACCACATGGCCTGAATCAACAAGACATCAACATCTTACATCACACATTCTCAGCAGCTGAGATTTTCCCTGTCTAAATAATTTATTGTTCCTTGAAAGGATTGCGTAATGTCCATTCTATTTTGACCTGTATCACCTGGACTCAAAGTAATAGTATTAATCTTATCTATCATCAAAAAATTGTCTTCTACTGTAAACTGCTTTAATTTCAGAAGAAAAATGTTCGCTGATTTCGCAATCAATTTTGTAGACGATTCAGCCAATCAATATTCATTTGATTCAAATTAAACGTATCAATTATTGAAGATTATGCAAAATATTGTAACAAAAAACTGGGAAAACTATGATGTTCAAAAGGTAGGAATAGTACCTCAGTTAAGAGGTTGTATGAATATTTGAAATTTGTCAAGAAATGGCCAAGAGTCAGCTGCGTAATGGCAAAAATGCCTGACTGTGATTCAATTTTAACACTAAAATGGCCACCATCTGGCCAGCTTGAATTGGATTGTGAAACAAATGTAGTTGTATAATTGTGATATTTGAATGTGATTGGTCTAGGCATGTCTGAGATACATTTAAGTATACATAGACGGACAAACAGAGATGAATTTCAAAGTCCCTGCCTACTTCTGAATGGGTATAGTAACTAAAAAGGTAATCTTTCAGCCATAATACAAAAAAATAAAATTTCTGGTTTTGAGATGTTTGTGAGTGACTCTTTTTCAATTGTCACATGTTCTTACCAGAAACTAAATAATTTGAAAAAAAAAATAGGCATAATATAATAACACTAAAAAGTTAACAGTCAGGGACGTGGATCATTTTAAATTAAGATGCAGCATGCACTGACCCGCCAAACAATCAGAACCGAATGTAATAATATTCGACAAATGCATTTACTTCACTTGTAGCTTATCCGACAGATTGAATCAGAGAACAACACAAAATAACCATCAACACAGACGGACACCTACACAGACAGAAGCCAATCTGCAATGACCGGTATTTCTGTCATCATCTGATATGTTTTCATGAGCTTTACCTGTATATAATCTCTTGCATGTCCCCAATCTCTCTTTGAATCCAGATTTCCTAAAACTAGGTCCTCTTGTTGTCCTAGATGTATCTTAGCAACCGCTCTGGTGACTTTCCTTGTAACAAATGTTTCACCTGAAGGGATAAAATGTCCATATTATTATATCTTGTCAACTGGTTCTATTCAACCCTCCAAGCAACAAAAGTAAATTTTTTTTTAAAATGTTTTTTAACATTTTGATCAGGATATGTAGGTTATAGAAAAATAAGTATTTGGTTCAAAATTGAGAAAAGAAATTAAAGAAAAATCCATAAAATATGCATACTGCTAGAACAAAGTCTTAAAAAACCAATTTGGCATTATTAAAGGGTTTATTTAAGGCCTGTTGCTCAAAACTTAAAATAATTGTTTGGCAAATGTTTGACATAAAAAAAAGATTTTTTGCGAGGTCAAAAATAATTCAACATAATTTCTTAGCAACAAGAAAATAAACTAAACTGACACGACCTTTTCCATGCAACAATAAATTCTATCTACTATTCATCATTATTTTTCCCTCTAAAATATTTCTATGTAAAAATGTCTTCGTTAATTTGGACAAAATAAAACCAACGCCCATCTTGATAAAAATATATGAAAAAATTCACATAGCTTTTTATTTTGAAGGGCAACAAAAGTTTGGTATTAAGGTAGAAGCCTAGTCATAATTTTTGACAAAATTGTTCAGAAATCGCATGACAATGTTCATTAGTTTATTATGTACAATCATGAAGCTAATGTCTCATGGTACAATGAAATAGCATTATTTTGTGTGTTACAGTTAAGCTTTTCGAGAAATGCGTCCTAATATTTCTTGAAAATTGCTATTTTTAGAACATTTCCATAGAATATAATGTTAAAGAAAAACTGCATTTTTTGACACTTTTTAAAACCCAGATTTTTTAAATAATTCAGAACAACAAAAAGTACTCCATCATTAACAATATATGTTTTTTTCAGCCTATGTCACCAGGTTAGATTTTGAGATATTGCATAATATCTCTGCCATAGAAACCTGTGGTAAAGGCGTTATAATAGTGTCAAAATGGCGATTTTCCACTAAAATAAAACCATAAATTTCTCAAAAAAAAGGCAGGTGACACCCAACTTTTTTTCGGTCAATATCCTTATATTGCCTTGGAGTACAATTTATTGCAAAATGAATAAATTCTGGGTTTAGAGTAGGCTTCTACCTTAATAGTTTAAAAAAACTGCTTGCTGATACTGGCAATACTAATGAGCAGATTAAACTCTGTGTGGACTGCAAGGGTAAGCACTGCAAGAAAAATAAAATTTTTACTGGAAAAGCGTTTGTACTTACCTCTTCTGGGACTCTCATGGTTAAATAGTATACCATTACATGCATACATATCATAAGCCTCTCGGAAATTGACAGTGATCCAATATGCGTATACTTTCGCACAACCTGCAGGAAATGACAATGTAAGATATGAAGTTTTGCAGTCGGTAACAAAAAAAAGGTTCTGTAAGGGTTAAATGAGCATGGAGGAAACATTTTTTTCTTACTATTTTTTATTTTCATTCAAGTTAACCATCAAATCAAATAAAATTTGTGACAAAAGTATAAAAGCTTACATAAAAGTAACCAAGTGCTGTAACAAAGTTTGATAGCAATAAAAAAAAAAACAGTAAATAAAAAAAAAAAAAGTTCACATAACAGATGACAACAATTTTGAGAAATTAAGTTCTTCAAACAAATGCACTCATTTCTGCACAGTGTAATTCAGGGAGGAAAGCCACCTACTGTTGCAGGGCGATTTCCACAGTTGCCTAACTTTCAAAGTAGCACAGTTAGGCAAACAGAATATCACCAAACAGAGATATAAACTCCTTGCCTAACTGAGAGTAAACTCATCAGACAGCTGAATTACTCACATTATTGGCTTAAAATTGTAGAAAATATTTTTCACAGAAAGACTTTCTAAAATTTTTGAACTATTCATAAGAATTATTTTATAGAAAGTAAATACTATTCATAACAATTTCCCTCATTAATACATTTTTTTTTTACATTTGGTGAATAAACTACATTAATCTTGGAAATTCTAAGCATCTAAACTTTTAAATAAGAAGTGAAACATGAATTTGTTTGTTTTGTTTCAAAGGTGTTACATAGCTGTTGATTTGGTTATTGAATTCAGGGTCTTTTTTTGTATTCAACGTTCAAAAAAGGATCTTTTTGAAACAATTTCTACTGGAATTCATATCTAAGCATTATATTGAGAAAAATAAATAGTATTCTGCATAATTTCACACACCCATCGGTACACATTGTACATATGATCTTAACACTATTTGTAAACAAATAAAAAATAACAAAAAAAACAATTTTACAAAAGAAATCAATGCTAAATAGTTCAAACATTTTCATGGGTGTTTACCACATTTTTTGTTCGAAATGTAGTTTAGAAACCATACTATTTTATCTAGATTTTAAGGAAAGAACTTTGACAAGAAGGTAATGGTTAACCAACTTCCTTAAATCACTGAAAATCAAACATTTCTAATAATAATATTTTATTTTAAATCCTAATCTTTATAATCAAATACAAGTTTAAAATAGTATTTTGTTTCCTGTTTTATACTTTTGAAGGATATTCCTGCAATGAAAGAACTCCCCCCCCCCTCCTATCTTCTTGACGGAAGTGCTAAGCTGAAAAAAAGTTTTACAAATTAAGATAGAGGGGGCTATCAAGAACTGCCTGGGTTTTATCAGAAATATAGAGGGCGCTATTACTAAAGTAATTTTTTAAAAGAAACAAAGTAATTTCTAATCTGACAGTAAGAGGGCAGTATTCAAAGAGATACACATTTAAGGATTCTCAATCCGTACAGGTTCTACATTAGAATTGTTACACATAATTGTTATTACAGCACTAATTCTCAAACATATAATGAATGGCCAAATATTTCATCAATAAAACAATGTTAGATGTGTTATACAGGACAAGAAGCGATGTACACAATAAGTAAGTGATCAGTCAAGCACTCATACAATCAAACATAAATAAATTTCAACAACAATTTACAATTCATAAGAAATAGTCCTAATAAGACGAACAATATTGATGCACGAAACAAATGTTATACTTTCAAGAGCTGCCATAGAGGGGGCTCTATGAATAAATGTGAAAAAAAAACCAGGGCTGTATCCAAATAAAATATCACTCATACTTGAATTTATTAGTGTGAAATATCACTAGCTGATATGGTACAGTAATTGTCACAATATTCACGTTAAACAAACTATGCTGTGGTATTGTTTTTTGTTACAGTGTGGTATGTTAACTGACTGGATAACCACAATTATTGTAACCTGTAGGGGGCATGGGCACTGCAATAACTTTCACTGTATAACCACAATTTTAGGCAACAAATACT